TTTTTTTTTTTGTGTCTGTGAACGCTCAATCTCAGCTCTCACAGGACCGATTTTGATGAACAATATGTCAAAAGATCACAAATCGTATCTAGTCGAAGACATTACCCTCAAAAATTGAAAAAAATTCCTTCGTTCCCCGTAAACGGTGGAAATCCTCCAAAAAATTACAAATTTAAAAATCGCTAATTTTCGATATTTTTTCAATTTTTTTTTACTTAAAATTGCCATAAATTTTTTAAAAATGATCGAATCAAATTAATTTTTTTTTTTTTATAAATGCCTTAGATATTTACCTATCATTTTATATATTTTTGTGATAATTTGACCATTTAACAGCCCACAGGAAGGGTTTCAAAATGGTAACTTTTTACAAAAAATTAACTTTTTCAACTTAACTTTTGAAAATGTTCCGGAAGACTGAAACTTTTATATATATCTTAAATTAAAGATTATGTAATATACTTTAATTTGAAAAAAAAAATTTTACCTCTGGATTTGTCTCCCATAATAATCTAAGGGAGGATATTCTCAAGATTCTACCCAGGTAGGGAAACGCTTAAGAAGTTATAAAAATATAGCATAGCATTTTTTCATAAAATATTAATTCTTAGGAAAATAAGAGAGAGTTAAATTGATATTTTCAAAATATACAAAGATACATTAATATTTTATAAATTTGAGAATTACTATTATAATAATAACTCAGAATATTCATAATTCTTTTTGACACTTCAGCACTCTGAATTTTTAAAAACCTCCTTCTATGTAAAATAATGAGAATTTTATTTAATTGTAATACTAGTTATGCATAAAAAAAATTTAATTAATTAAATAATTATGATATTAATTATCACAGTTAGATATCCAGGAAATAATTTTATAATCTAATGTTATAAAACTATAAATATGCCTTAACATTATTAAAAAAAAAATGTTGTCAGAATAGATATAAACTAATTGTATTATTTAAGGTTTTAAAAATTTCTAAATAAAATTTGACCTAACAATCTTCGAAAATTTTTTCATGAAAACTTTTTTTTGACACTTATGTTCATCATAATCATATATTGATCTATACTGTTTTGTCTCGTCCCTACTTTTTTTTAATCTTGAGAATGTGATATAATTAGATAGATGCTATTTCATTATTTAGGAATAATATATTTTCACAATAACTTTATTGATTCAATTAAAATTTGCATATATAATAATATGCATAATAATAATATAATAATTTATTATATTTTAGCAATATTAAGTTTCTACAAAAATTCAATGATTTTGGATGAAAAATTCTAAATGATAAATTCACTGACTTTTGTTATTATTAGAATCGCTTAACTTCCTTAGATTTTATTTTATTATTTTTATTTTTATTAATGAATAATACATTTTTACAATCATTTTTTATTTTATTTAAATATGAATGTGTAATAATTTATTATATTTTAGCTAAATATTCGTAATATTAAGATCCTTAGTTAAATGAATATTTAATAATTCCGGTAACATAAAGTCTTCGTAAAAGTAAATAAGTTTTGGTTCCATATTATCGTTCCAAAATTTGTCATCTCGAATAATTTTACAATAAACTATACCTAAAAAAGTTAAATAATAGCATTTTATAGTAAAATTATTTTTGGATAAAATTTTTGACCACAACAACTGTAGTCAAATCTAGTGTCAATGGGATAACTGTTATCTGGGTGACAATAGGTATTAAAATAAGTAGCAACACAAATACAAATTCCAAATACAACATTTTATATTCCGAAGATTGTGGAATGCCGGACACACATGTCGAAAATTGTAATTGGCTTATCTTAACCTAAATTTTCAGAAATAGTTTATGTAATTTATTATGTGATTTTTTTATAATCAATATTGAAATAAAATATAGGGTTTTAAAATAATAATTTAATTTTTTTTTTTGTATAGAGCAGTCTGAATAAAAAAAAATGGGTATTTTTACGACCTATTTTTAATGTACCCTTACGAATATATTTTAAACATAGCTAAAATACTATTATTTATTATTTTATTATATTTAATATAAATATATATGTTATTTAAAAAATGAAAAAATATTATTTTAAAATTAAAAATATTTATCTAAAACTAAAAATATCAAAAATAAAAACTCAAAAATTCTCAGTTATAGTACTTAAATTGGTTTTTAGTTTTATTAAATATGGAGTGTTTTAATAATTNACTTAAATTGGTTTTTAGTTTTATTAAATATGGAGTGTTTTAATAATTAATTAAGCCTAGACCGTAAAATTTGTCATGGGTCTAATATTTACAGGAGAAGAAATAAAAAATTAAATTTCTCTGTCGATTGTAAAACCGTTACTGTAATCGCAGATTATAATTAAATGTGTAAAAGACAACAAAATTTGTCTTTAAAAAAAAAATAAGTAAAACATTTTTATACCAACAAGTAAAATTGAAATAATATTCTCAAAGAAAAAAATAATAAAAATAATAATTTAAAAAAAATAAACAATTTGAATATAAAAATTGTAAAAAATGAATATTCTGAATATTTGTAAAAAATCTAGTCACCCATATTGTTTTTATTATAATTTTGCAAAAAACATTGAATCTTACCACACGCCTATAGCACTTAACATTTATTTATAACCATTTTTTTTACTCGTCTAGTTCAATCATTTCTATATTAATCAATCGTGTATTACTATTACTACTATTGTTATAAATATTTTTTTTGGTGTTATTGTTAATCTTATGTAGGCCAATAGCATGCCATATACAATAATAATAAAAACTATATATTATATTTTATTTACACTTTTTATGAAAACAAAATAAAAATCTAAAAAAAAATTAAATTTTGGAAAAATTTCAGAAAATCTTAGTTGTATCTTATTATTTATTCTGATTTTATTTTTAGTACCTTTTGGTGTCCAAATAATTAAATAACAATACTGCCATTGTGTAATATGTAATTCTCCTTGTATTTGATAAAAAGTATCAGAAGTACATTTTAATACGAGTTCTTCATTCTTATTGTAATGCACATAATTTATTACTTTATTTTTAATAGCATCTTCGGGAGTCATATATTGGACCTTAACTGGACATTTTATTTCAACAATACCATCTTTCCCAATTATACCATCTGGTTTTGCTGTTAAATAGTTAATGTTTTTATCAATAAATGCACTGCACGGTTCAATCTTTACGTCCATTTTCTTCTCAAAATGTTGTATTGCTTTCAGCTCATTAACTATGCCATATTGCTCAACATAACTATATATATAAATCAACAATAGCATAAAACTGGAAATTATTATCTTCACAAAACTAAAATATTTAAAAATAACTATTGTATAACTTATTATTACTTACTGGATATTATTTTTGGTATTACTTGATTTTTCATTATAAACGTGCAATGTCCTTTTCAAGAATGAATCTTTGTTTTTTGTTTGATTAAATGAACAAGCACAGTAAAAACGAGAAGATGTTAGACGTTTATTACGTAGTTTTTCCCAGATATCTTTATTAACGAAATGTATTTCATTTTTCTTAAATAATTCATCGTCATAGTTATTTAATTTTAAACTTTGTAGAAAAACTTTTTTAATAAAACCAGATGGTTTTGCTGTTAAATAGTTAATCTTTTCATCAATAAATTTATGACACATTTCAATCTTTACGTCCATTTTCTTCTCAAAAAGTTCTATTGCCTTGGGCTCATTAACTGTACCATATTGCACAGGAAACCTATATATATATACCAACAAAAGCACAAAACAGGAATTTAGTATCTTCTTAAAAACGTTTGAAACTAAATTATAAAAAAAAAATTGCTAAAAATAATATGAAGATAATTTTGTATTTAATATTACTTATTATACTTTTTATTACTAACAGAATATTATCTTTAGTATCAGAGTTTTCATATTTTTTATTCCAAATGCGCAATGTTTTTTTCAAGAATTGTTCGTTATTTTTTGTTTGATTAAATGAACAAGCACAGCGAAAACGAGAAGATGATAGACGTTTATTACGTAATTTTTCCCACAAATCTTTATTAAAGAAATGTATTTCATTTTTCTTAAATATTTCATCGTCATATTTATTTAATTTTAAACTTTGTAAAAAAACTTTTTTAATATTTTCGTAGTCTTTATCAATAACCATTTCCTTTTGATTAGCTGCTCCATTATTTGTAATATGAATAATAAATTAAAGAAATTAAATAAAAGTTAATGTCTAAATGATTAGAATAATACAAAGAAAATAGAAAAATAATATTAAAATTAATTAGTTTATATATATTAAAGTTTGTTTGAAATTAAGCTGTGATTTATTTATTATATTGTAAAGTGTCGATTGGCGCGTATTTTTTTAACAAATATTGTGTAACGCAAGATGACTTCGCTTACAGTAGAAAAGTGTTAGATGTATCAGTTATTTAAGTCAAATTGCGTGCGTTTGTTATGCCACTGTGTTTCGTTAACTATAGACTTCTTTGAAAATATAATTATTCAGAATAACCAATATGTAATCAGTCAAAATATTTTGGTTCAATTACAAAGCAAAAATGAATCATTAAGAAAAATGGTAGTAGAGTTCCAAGTTATCATAGAGCTGTAAAAAATTTAACATGTTAATCAATATGTAAGTAGCATACTTGATAATAAAAAAAATGAAAATATTATTAACCATAAGCCGGACTATAGAACAGATGCATTATTTAGTTCACTAAAACAACTGATGAAAGAAATAAAAAAAAACCCAGCACTGTCGTAGAACAGTGAAGACGCGGCCTAGTTGGAAAAATATAACTTCGATTAAAAGTACTATAATAAAAACGTTTCAATACAAATATGTAGATAGTATTTTATTTTTAAAAGGAATTGTTAGATTATTTCAAAAGTAACATAAATTCTTATTTCCTTAATTATATCCTATACACAAGTTATATGATTTATTATTACATAATAATAATATAGTATTGTTTATTTTGTTAAATCTATAGCAAACGTATATCAAAATAGTATGGATTTATCAAAAATAACAATAAAAGAATTTTCGATTATTCTGACTCTCATTAGTTAATTATAATTTTATTTTGGAAATAAAAAATTGTAATTTATCATAAGTCATTGGTTTTCACTAAATATACTTATCAGATGCACATTAAAAGTTGCACAAATCCTCCTTAAAATATTTAAAATTGACACTAATATCGTTTTTTTTGTAAGTTAGGTTACGTATCTTTAACTTTTTTTTGAATATACTAATTCACCTAAAGTAAAGGCATTAATAATTGTAAACAAAACTGAATTAGATATTTATTGTCTACATATTATTAAAGAATGTAGAAATTCAGTAAAATGTCGGAAAGTCATCTCGAGCTGAGAAAAAAAATTTTAGCACTCCGTGAGCATATAAACATGTATTGACTACAATGCTAATTTTTTCGATTTAGAACCTGAAATGTTTACTAGGCTTGACCATAGAAATTCCAGAGGTACTCTGAAAATTTTATTGAAATCCGTTTGTTTTTGTCCAAGTTATGAGCTTTATTTTTTTTTAAGTACTTATGCATAGTTTTTATCCATAAAATTTTCAAAAAGATATAGCAATTTAAAGCTCAGAATATTAAATTGAATAAAAAAAACTTTTAACACTTAAATAGCATTATTATTAACTACGACATCCATTTATTCATAAATATAACTTGTCGGAAATATTTTTAACTTAAAATATGTAACAAAAAATTTAATTTAACATATGTTTGAAGCTCGTAGCATTTCTGGAACATGATCAAAAATCTACTTGAAAAATTTCACTCCTTATGCAAAATTGCTACTTTTTATCCCCCCTCCACCCACCAAAAAAAAAAGCCAAATAAATGCTCAGATTTTCGAAAAAAAATTTAACAAATAAAAGGGAAATACCTAAGGTACTCATAAAAATTAATTTTTTATGATCCATCCATTTTTTTAAAAGTTATGTTAGCTTTAAGAAAAAAAAAGTTAAAAAAATGTCGAAATTTACCTTTTTATAAAAATAGTAATTTTTGGGGAAATTTCCACAGTTTACGAGAAATGAGGGAAATAATATCAATTTTTGAGTAATATGTCTTTAATTGCATACGATTTGTTCTTTTGATGTATCGTTAAAAAATCGATACAGTAAGAATTTAAAAAAACTGGCAATAAACAAAATAAAAAAAAAAAAATCACAGCATTTCGTCGATGATAAAGTGTTAATTGTAATATTATTAATTTTCATGTTTATTACCCATATATTACTAATATTTAAGAAAGTTTTTATTCTGAAAATTTTTAGAGTACATCATGTTGATTACCTTTATTAATATGTGTATAAGAACTTCTGTTCATTTTTGTTACAAAAGTAATTTTTGTCTTTGACAACAAATTATTCACATAATTTTTTAAACTTGTACGATTTAAAAATTGTCCAATTTCTCCTTTGAAAGTATTAAATGTGAATGAAATAATTTATTTCAAAAATTCATTATTTAATTTACAATTATCGCAAAATTCATTCATTAAAGATAGTAATGCAGAATCATTTAATTGTGCTAAAATAATATCCAATATATCCTTTTTTTGATGATATTCCAGTCTTACTATATCAATAAGTCGTTTTGCTAAATTATATTGCCAAGGGTTAACAACAAACTTGCCATAAATAAAAAATGAAATCATCCTAACTACGTATTCAGATACACGTGGAAACTGTATTTTAAAAATATGATTTGGATTGAAATTTTTAGTCCGAATATCAATTTTTAATACTTCTAAAATATAAAGACATAAAAATGTGTGAAAACACTCTAAAGACTCTAATTCTTTTTTTAATTTGTTTAAGCTTGATTCTTTTTTTTGTCTACACTCGTAATCGTTTTTACAAGATATTGATAACAACTTTATGTCATCTTTATTTATAAACGAATGATTAATAAATCTTTGATTTTTTCCACAGACTAATGATTTGATATCACTATTAATAGTACTTATAACTTGTAAAAATGAATCGTCAAATATTGTGTCATAATCAGGTGGCTGAAATCAAGTTGTAAGTATGTTATCTTCAAAAAATAAAAGTAATTATTATATAACAAGCCGTCTAAAGTTTAAATTGAATCTAATGTAATATTATATTATTACTTATAATATTTACATATAATATGATGTTATCATTTGTACATGTATGTCACATATTTTGATTATACAAGATCACTAAAACAGGGTTCTCTTATTTAAAATATATAACAACCAGATTATTATGGGATAAAATATAATTATTGTAGAGATTTTTAAGTAACGCCTACACGCAGGGCCCTCATTATAATAATTCGATTAGAATAATAAGTCTCAGCTTCCATGATCAACTAAGGGATCGTTATATTACCCCTTGCTGACTATTAAAATACACAAAATCTACGACACTTCTCAAGATTTCACTCTTTGGGTCTAAGTCGTTTTTTTATTTAATTTGGAATATTTTTCAATTTAAAAAAACTTGGTCATTTTTTTTAAATTTTTTGAACTTAGAATATTATTTATTAAAACTAAATGAAATTTAGAAATTTTAAAGTGAATTATGTTTTATAGTGAATTACCTTTTAATTTAAATTAATTTGTTCATTAAATAATAATGTTTCATTTTTCTTATTGTGGTAATAAGTATCAAATAATATTTTAAACATAATTTTTTTTTATTATATTATATTAATAATACATCAAACCCAACTTTAAATTTTTATTTAATAGTTAAAATTTAGTGTGAGCTTTTCTTATTGGGTAGCCTGTTTCGTCGCTAATGTCTTTGCTTTAACAAAAATCGCGCCGGCAGACAGAGTTAAAAGTCACAATTTTTTCAATTTAAACTGAGATTTAAATTAATTTTATACAATTTTTATTGGTCTATGTGTATTGCAATACATTGGGCCACCACAATACCTCCTTGATAAATTTTTTCATCTTCTTTTTCTTCGCTTTAATCCAAACTACTTGAGGTCGGCCACATGATAAATTTTTTACATTGATATAAATATTTTTGAATCTTTTTTTGGCCAGAACAGAGGAAGATTTAAGAAGTATTGGTCGATCACTCAATAATATATATTCTCCCAAAAGAAAATACTTATTCAAAAAACATAAAAAAAATTAAATAAGGAAAAATTATGATTTATACTTCTAATAAAATTTAGAATCTTTAGAATCTTTTACAAGTAAAATCAGTAATAAATTTTGTGTAATTAAATCGTATTATTTAAAATTTGAATCGTTCGCGTAAGTAATTATATTGCCTATATGACGTGCAGTGTAAATAGTATACGTAGTGCATTTAATACCAGAAACAACGTTGGATTGCTTAAAATATTATTGCATTACATAGGACGCAAAGTAAGTACAATTTAAACTATGCTTTCGATCCTCGAACAATCTATTCCATAATGAACCACTACTAAAATTAATAAAAAATGATATAACTTAAAAAAAAATTTAATATTGCAAATATTCAATTATCTACCACTTGCTTAACCTCTTTTATTATTTTTATTCTAATTATTATTTTATTTTTGGTTTAATACGCTAAATAAGACGGTCATCTAAGAGATCTAGGTACCAAAATGTATTTTGTAAAATAAATAAAAAAAAATCTCATTTTCCTACAGGCAGTCATTGATAACTTTACCATTGGGTTCTTTCGTATTTCCACTATGTCATCATAATTTATTTACGAATGATGAATAAATCTTTGATTTTTTCCACAGACAAATGATTTGATATCACTATTAATAGTATTTATAACTTGTAAAAATGAATCGTCAAATATTGTGTCACAATCAAGTGGCTGAAATCAATTTGTAAGTTATCGTCAAAAAAAAAAAATTAATGATAATAAAACAAGCAGTGTAAAGTTTTAATTGAATTTCAAAGAAGGCGCATCTGAGAGATTTCTTTGAGTATCTCGTATTTACACAATTAACGAAGATTTCTATCTTTCATAGAATTTGCAAGAAATAAGACATTACATTAATACAAAAAAATATTGGATTGTATTAATGACTATTTTTTAGTAATGACATAGTGAAACAAAGATCGATGAGTCTCTTAACTGGATTAAGGAGGGGAAAGTAAATTAGATCCCTCTCTTCTTTTCAAATCCT